CAAATACGTTTGTAATGAGTGGAAAGTAAACAACAGATGATTAAAAGAGAGATGTGCGAATATATGTTTTGTTTTTCATGAAAATTTATATACTTGCTAGAGCGGTTCTTTTGTCACATCCTCAATTTCAGAAGAAGAACATACATATAGTTATAATATTAATATTCTATTAATTGAGCAACGGATATCCACTACATTTGATTTTCGAGACAATTAATCGCAGGAATAAAACTATTTTTAATAAAAAATCACACACAATAATTGATAATGAAACCAACGAAAATAAAACAAATAAATTCTTTGTGATTCTATACATAAATAACATTTCTGAACTAGTTGCATCTTCTATCAAAAAATCGGAATTTAAAGTGGGTTATCGCTGCCTCAATAAATTAAACTGTGTAGCGTCTGTTGCCGGGTTTTTATTAAATAACTTTTCTTCTTATTGCTTTTATTCTCAAATTGCTTTATTATCCTTGCATCTTCGTCTGTCTCTCTCACTCTCTGTTTGTCTAAAGAAAGATGTTATCTATTGAAATATATATATATATATATATATATATATATATATATATACATATATATATACATATACATATGCACATATAGAATATACGAGCGATTTTATGTGACCATGAAATATATAAATAAAAATAAAATTTTCAGATTTCTGTTCTTTCAATTACTACATGAAATGCAGTAATGTAAGAATATTGAAATCTAGAACTTTATATTTCATATTTTGTTTTTCGTAATTTGTAATAATATAAAAAACTGCAAATTAATTCATTTATGTGTTCCACAATATATCAATGACTGCGTTCAGCAAAAAAGCAGCTTTGCAAGTGTTGCAAAACAGTTTTTCCTGTTGAACACCAAACAATATTAGTAGAATAAGAATTAGTGTTTTATTATCGCTAGTAAGAATGTTTAAAATTGTATGTAAAAAAAGAATAAGATTTTCTACAAAACATCAATGTATACGACGCTGTAAATTTACAGTTTTATAATAAATTTCTACGCTTATATTTTCTGTTTTTTTTCTTCGGAATATATAATTTCGGAATATATGTATATATACATACAGGTATATCAAGAAGAATATCTGCAGAAAAATTAATATTTATTATGGAAAGCGAAAGAAAAAGAGAAATATTGTTCTATTTTATTAATTTCTGAATATTAATTATATATTTGTTTTGTTTATTATATAAAGAGTATATATTGATTTTATTGTGTAAATTTTTGTTTATATATATTAGGATTTTATAATGCAGAATTCTGACAAAATTGAAAAAAAGATATCAATTCGCAAAAATTAAATCGAAAGACAAATACAGTATTTTGATAGTATTTTCTCAAGGCAGATTTAAAAAATTGCAGTTTTGCATTGTGTGCATTGATATACTTCATTTTAATAATTTTTATATATTGTATGTAGTATTTATTTTTATTTTAATAATTATTATTTAGATGTATTACTATTCAATGCCTGTGTATTTACAAATTATATATATAACTTTTAGTAACTTTTAATAATTCTATTTATATTATTCATATTAATATATATATATATATATATATATATATATATATATATTATATATATATTTGTGTGTAACTGTGTTGTAATATCTCTCTCTATCTGTCTCTCTCTCTCTCTCTCTCTCTATATATATATATATATATATATATATATAAAACAAAGTGATAAATATAAGGCCAACTTATCGAGCTGAATATTCGAGATGTTCAGTCAACTACCATTTATTACATGTATAAATTATAAAACTACAGTCATTATATTAAAACTAACGCAAATTACAATCATTCTATAAACGTTTCGACCGCACGCGGTCTTCTTCAGTATAATTATTGAAATATAAATTCTTACAATTCACATAATATCGAAATTTAATTATAGTTATTCAGAATCAAGAGTTTTTGAGCAATTAACGCGTGTTTCAATCCGTCCTGTCCAACAATGTTCGCCTCGATATGATCCCTGATTTTGTTCAGATCTCGGATAGTTTCATCGTTAATATGCGAGAAATTAACCCGTTCCGTAGGCGCTGCGATTAATAAAAAATTACCGATCAACGTATGTCCAAATTATAATATGTATCCCCTACAATTGGTAGTATGCTTACCTATCATCGTTCTTCTTGACAATTTTGCTACTTATTAACAGTTATTAAGGATGACACATAACAAACCAACAATACAGAAAGACAGCTCATTTTAAACTCTACTTGATCGGAGAGCGTGCGTGTTTATATATGATCTAATATCTATGTTTTACTCGTTAATGTCCTATTTGTCCTATTATTATTTCTTGTTCGCTAATATATCCAAAATATCAAAATACGACTCGCTAAGTAACTCAGTATCTTTGTTTAAATTTAGTCCATTTTTTTGTTCCTTGATATGTAGCATCTCAGAAATGAGTCTTTTATAATAATTATTTTCGTTGTCCATGATCTTAACATTGTCCCAATTAAAAGTATGATGTTCATTTATTATGTGTTCAGAAATTACTGAATGTTTCGTTGAGTCCAACCTAATATTATTTTTATGTTCTTTTATTCGCGTCTGCAATTGCCTCTTTGTTTGGCCTACATAAGATGCATTACAATTATTGCAACTGATCTTATAAACCACATTCGAATTGCATGGATGTTTAGTTTTATCTTTCTGCGCTTTAATAATATTATCCAGTTTGTTGAGACATCTATACCCTACCATACAATTTTTATTTTTTACCGAGGAAACAATCATTTCTGAGATCCCATCTATATACGGAATGACAAAGAATTTTTTATTGACCGAGTCATTTCCTATACTTTTTGTTCTTTCTATGTTGGCCTGTCTCTCTATAATGCTCCCCTTAGATATGATGTGTTCTATCCGATGATTAATTTTGTTAAAAATCAGATCAAGAGGGTAACCATTGCTTCTGAGTATATTAATAATTAACTCCAAATTTTTATTAAAAAATAGTGGATGTGATAGCAATAGACATCTGTCTACAAGGTTATATATTATTCCAATTTTGTGGCATAATGGGTGGTTTGAATAAAATGATAACGTCCTTCCTGAGAAGGTTTCTTTTTGATACCAGTCTATATATATTTTGTTATTAATAATTTTAAGTGATAAATCTAAGAAATTCAAGCTATGGTTAACCTCTTGTTCGACCGTGAATTTAAGTCTTTCATGATAGTTGTTAAAATTATTCACAATCTGAGTCATATTAGTCATAGAGGTGGCCACTATTATGTCATCCACATAACGAAAATAAAACAAACATTCCAAATTCAACGCTTTGAGAACTGTATCCTCAAGATCTTGCATAACCAGGTCTGCAATAATTGGTGATAACGGTGACCCCATAGGGGTCCCAAACGTCTGTTTATAAATTATGTCATCAAATGTAAAATATGTAGAAGTCAATATGAATTTTATACCCCCCAAAAATTCGTTTTTCGGTATTTTAGTATTTATTCCAATGTGATCCCATCTATCGTTAATACCGTCAATCGCAAGATCCAGAGGAACGTTCGTAAACAAAGACACCACATCCAAGGAAAACATCCTATCATTCTCATCAATCTTTTTACCAGACAATATGCTGTACAAATCAAAACTATTATTAATATGACTTTTCGCTTTGGGTAGGCTAGTTCGTAAGGTGTTTTGTAAAAACGAAGCCAGCGAGTATAGAGCTGTATCAACCGATGAAACTATGATTCTAACTGGATAGTTTTCCTTATGGATTTTAGGTAATCCATACGCTTTTGGAAGGAGAGAATCACTACAACGTAATTTATAATATTCGTTTTTTGAAATATAATCTTCCTTAAGCCATCTCTTCAACAAATCATTCAAATCGTTCTCTATTTTTTTGCACGGATTTTTTTTAACAATAGTGTAAGTGTTGACATCTTTTAAAACGTTTTCCATTTTGTTAATATAATGAGATCTTTCCATTGCCACCGTAGCATTACCCTTGTCCGCGCGTGTGAATAGAACATTCGGATTGTCTTTACAAAATTTTATTAAATCTCTGTGTGCACCAAGTACTTTTTGTTGACTTACGTCATTTTTATCCTTCGTGTTCAGAAGTTGTGCAAATTTTGGAACCGCGATATTTCTGATCGTTGTGAGATTATTAATATTATTTCGTTTGCTATTACTCTCTATGTCCTTGATGAATTCATGTATCGCTGTTTTTTTACTAATATTCGGAAGACAGAATTTATCACCCATTTGCAACAGATTAGAAACGTTAGGCGGAATGTCTGTGTTGGAAAGATTAACAAACCATTTTTTATTAGTATTTTCCAAAGGGTTAATTGTATCATTGAGAAATTTATTGGCTTCTATGTGTATATTGATCTCCTTGGCATCATTAGTGATTGCCCTGAGAGAATTTTGTGATATTTTCGTCGGTTGTGAAGTTTCAAAATGTAAAGAACAATGTATATCTATAGGTTTGATGCTGTTGATATACTTATAGTGTTGTTTTCTCTTAAGCCAATTGAATTTCTTTTCGTGTGCAGTAACCAATCTGTTGTGGCAATTTTTAAAAGCAATGTTATGATGTTCGAAAATTCTATTCCACGCGAGTACAGGTAAACGATTAAATAACCCGCTGGTGAGATGAAAAATCCTATTTTGTAATGACTCTACCTGTCTATGCAAATCAAAGATTTCAATGCTCATCGCATTTGTTTTGAATTTGTACAACATACTATCTAGTCTTCTGATCGATCTGTGATGAAAAACGTTAAATTTAATGCGGCAAAAACCTTCTAAATGTGTAGGAAAAATATCGCCATTTTTACAATTTCTTAAAAATTCCAATTTTGCTCTCGCTCTTATTAACAAACAATTATATATATATATATATAACGACCTCAAAAGTATTGTTGACCTATAACGCATCATATTTATCATGATGACACGCACAGAGAATCAGTTAGTCTTTCGTAGTCTTTTGAATCACACACATCGTGGTAGATATAATACTTTTAATAAAGTGCGTGTGAATATATTATATTCTTCCAACATTGCGTGCTGCTAGTATTAATTTGTTGCAGTTAATTGTTTAAAAAATATAAATTTGATCAATATACTTTTGCAATAATCCTACTATTCCGCAATATAGGGTAAGTCAGAATAAGTTAAAAATATGAAAGTAGATATATTTTCCCACAAATACAAAAAATTTAACGATGCAGTATAACGGAATTTTTAAGAATTACCAACATATAAGTATAAAAAGAATAATTTTATTCAAAAGTATCTTTAATTTCAATCCAGGGATAATTTTAAATAATATCGATAATATAATATTTTACGAATTGTAATGTTGAAATAATCTTGGACCCACAAAAGTTTGATATCAAATAAATTATTTCTGAAACTTAAAAATACTATAATTTACATAACACATAATAAAAATAATAGACACTTTCATATAATTGTTCTTTTATTAATAGATTATTAAAATTCTGTTTTCTAAACTTTGTCGTGCCTTATATTTTTTATAAAAAATATATGTGTATTTTAATATTTAAAATGATTTTTAACTTGTGCTGACATTGAGTAGAATAACTTAAATCAGGAGAATCAAATATTAATTTTTGCTGTTAAAGGTTATATATATATTGTAATTAAACCTTAAATTTAAGTTCTATTAACAATAAATTCTACTTAAAATTAATTTACAAATGTGATTTGTTAATATTTTATTTCCACAAGACTTATTGTTAATTTGCAAGAAATTATTTATTTTCAATCGCTTATAACTCAAAATTTATTGGTACTACAATATTTTTGCTGAGAAAAAATCGTCACATTATACATATATATGTATATAATATTTATTAATAAGTTTATAATTTATACAATTTAAATTTGATTTTATGTTGGTTTTATTCTCGGTGATTGTTCGTTAGGAATTTATAATACACAATTTAAAAGAAGAAATAAGACAGATCTCTAAAAGAAAATAATAAACATGTGCTTTCTCTCTCTCTTTCTCACTCTCTCTCTCTCTCTCTTTTTCTCTGTCTCCGCTACTCAGTCTTTCTTATTCTTATTCTCTTCTTATTTTGAATGTATACACAGATATACAGAGTGTCCGGTAACTAACGGACCAATGATTAAGGGCGGATTTTCTGGCCAATTTGGAGACAATTTTTCCTTAGCAAAAATGTTGAGAAGTCAATAATTTTCGAGTTATAAGCGATTGAAAAAATGGGTTTTTGGAAAACTAAACGTTTTGGAGTTAAAAGTCTAACATAATTGCATTCTTCAGTTAATTTCAAGTAGAGTTTACTATAATATAATTTTAATTTGAGGCTTAGTTATAAAAATACATAATAACAAATATTGGAAAGTCGAAAAAAATGATGACCTTTTTCGACATTTTTGCTCAGGAAAAATCGTTCCCAAATTGACCAAAGAATCTTGTAATCTTTGGTCCGTTAGTTACTGGACACCCTGTATATGTATGTAGATATAACGGCTCTTGTGTTTATATGTAAGTAATTTACTTGAAACAACTAATTTTATATACTATAAATCTTTATATATTCTAAATAATATTCTATAAATTTTAAATGTGTATAATTTTTTGATAATTAAAATTATTATTTAGAGAAAATATAAAATATGTAGTAAATTTAATATTTCCATATTGCTGTAAATTAAAATATGTGCAACTCTGAAATACACACAGATATATATATATATATATATATATATATAATTTTATTAAAAAAATTGTGCAAATGGAAATTGCTTTCTTAATTTTCTTTCACTAACAATAAGTAGAATGGTTTTCAATTAATAATTTTAATATTTTTTTGTATTTATTTTCTTGTTTATATACAAGAATTATTTAAAAAAGACATCAAAACTATATTTAATATCTTCATTTATTTTTTGTCTAGATACGTGTTTTACAGATCTAGAATAAATATTCCTTTTCTTCAACATGATGATATTTCCAAAACTATTATTAAGTAGTGGATTAATTTTTATTGCTGTGGCAGCATTTATTCGTAATGAATCTTCATGTTATCAACCATCAGAATATGTAAAACCAATGCATTACGATATCAAGCTTAGTTTATACATTGAAGGAAATTTTTTCTGTGGAGAATACAATATCAGCATAAGCATTCTTAACAAAACACAACATATACTTTTACATTCAACAAAATTATGTATTGAAAGTATAGTTTTATTTACAAGTGTAGAGAAAAATCATGAGAATGATACAAATATAGTTTATAAACCAACATATAGTACTACAGAAGACACAATTGATATTTTTAAGGATGAGTTATCACCAGGAAATTACATTTTAAATATAAAATATTATGGTATTGCTAATAAAGCTTTTACAATCTTCGACGCGAAAGAAAAAATTGCGTAAGTACATACATATAACAATTTATGTATGTATATTGTGCAATTACATAAAAAATTATAATTAATATATATTATTTATGTATTATATGTTTTAAAAATTATTATATGTCATGAAATTTAAATATAAAAACGATCAATTTTTATCTTTAGTACACATTATTTCATATCACATTTATACGTTTTTTAATTCTCAATGTTCTTATGTTTGCTGAAAATGTTTCATTTATATTCTTTGAAATGTATAGTTTGGTAGCTGCTACTCATTTCTATATAATAAGCACTCGTCGAGTGTCTTCTTGCTGGGATCAACAGAATTTAGTGTTAGGAGTAACCTTTAACATATCTATAGGATGTAATCAATGTACGGCTTTGTCAAATATGCCATTGCGAAATATGGAAAAAGATGCGCGTAATTTGTTATGGACACACTTCGATACCACACCTGCAATGTCGCCTTATTTTGCAACAATAATTGTGTCTAATTACCTATTACGTATTGATAGTGACACTCAAAACATTAAAATGTGGTGCAGAAACGAATCTGAAATTCACATAGATTTTGCAAAAAATGTAGCTGAAAAAGTCACGTTGCATTTAAAAAATGAATGGAAACAACGTTCAAACAATATTTTGAAGGTTACTCATGTTGCAATTCCAAATTTCTATGACAGTGGCACAACAGTTTTTGGACTTGTTTTTTATAAGTGAGTACAAGTGTTTAATAGTATAGTAAAAAATGTCATTTTTTTTATAACAGTTTCAACATCTATCTGCGAGAGTTCGATTTAACATATACATACTTTATTCAAACGGTATACTTTAGCTTTGTAATAATATGAATAAACTTAATTCTACGAAAATTGTTTTCGTAATTCTTTAATCTTTCGATCGTTTACAGAAACAAAATATATACATGTTTTTAAATTTTATCAATTTGTATACTAATATAATTTTGTGCAACCGGCGCACGAAAAGTCGTCCTTTCCGCACATGATGGGATTTTAGAAAGGGCTCCCTTTCCACGCACCGGTCACATAAAATATCATAGCCAACATGTGCGGGTCGTTTTTACGATCCCTTGCATTTGTTAGCTAGTATACTATTATCATGTGCGTAAAGCGACTTATTGCGCCGGTTCATATTATTACAAAGCTAAAGTATACCGTTTGAATAAAGTATGTATATGTTAAATCAAACCCTCGCAGATAAATGTTAAAACTGCTATAAAAAATGACATTTTTTAATTTTTTAAATTATTGTTCTTTGTCAACGATATACACATTAACAGAAATTTATCATTGCTTTATATTGTAAATTAAAAAATAAAAAAATTCTATTTGATACGATTTATAATACTGATTTTTTAAATTGCACTCATGAGTTTGTAAATCGTACATATAACAATTAAATTTAAACATTGTAAGAAGAATAAAATTTTATTTTCTATAAAAGTTCTGATTTATAACATTGAAATATAACTTTCAGGGAAACAAATATCATCTACGATAAAAATTTATATCCTATTGCTCACAAAATCGACGTAGCTCAATTAGTAGGACGTAAAGTGACAAAGCAATGGTTTAATAACATGTTGAACAATCCATTCGTGTCGGATTTTTGGTTTAAAAAAGGTCTTATTACATTGCTTGCAACGTATGCTGTCAATAAGGTACGTTATTCTAAATATTATCATCTCTATCTCGCTTCCACCTTCTCGCAAACGTTATAATATTTAAGCATTTATGTTGCAAGATTTTCTTCAATCAAACTTTTTTTACAAAATCTATATGCATTCTTTGTGAATTGTCTTGAGAACATATTTAGCATTATTTAAAATAATTAACTATTTAAAGAAAAATATTTTTTTTATGTTTACATACATATAATTATAATTAATTTATTAAAAATTTTTATTTTTTAACACCGCTATTACATACTTTTAAATTTCTTTGTAATATAAAATAAAATAAATTAATAAAATACGAGTATACATGATATTTATTTAATTAAATTTGGTGAAAAAAAGTTTGTAATAATAAAATAATAATTCATAAGATAATAATTTATAAAATATGTAATATATGCATTTGTTAATTATATGTATCATTGAATATTTGTTAATTATATTAATACAAAATTTTAGATTTCATTATTATATACTAATTTTAATGTGTGTATTTTAAAATGAAAAAAATGTTTCGTTTCAACAATGAAGTAACGTTAATAATATTAATATTTATTTTTAATGCAAGAATTTTTAAAAAGGTGATATCGATATACTAATTATTTTTTTCTATAGACTTATCCAGATTATCGAATAATAAATTTATTTGTGATTCAAAATCAACATTACTCTTTTAACTTGGATAGTGATTATTATATGTGGAATTCTTCACTACTATTGTATTCTTCACTACTATTCAATTCTTCTACTTCACAAGTTAACAGTTTATTGGAAATTCCCAATTTTATCAGAGGTATACGTAATATAATAAAATAGTCTGCGTAAATTTTTAACTGTTAATATTTTAAAATATGTGTAAATAGAGAAGATAATTAATTCTTTATCTGGATTTTAATTTATTATTATATTTATAAAAGTACACACACACACACATGCGTGCGCTCGCAACACATACACACATTCACACGTACCCACACGCGCGACTACGCCCACGCATATACAAGCACACACACAGTGTCCGGTGATAGCCGCACATATGTAGATAGAGGGAATTCATAGAATTAATTATTTAAAGTTTTGCTATCTTTGTAAGTATTAACAAGAAATGTACTTATAAAATAGAATGATAAACGGTGTAGCATTAAAAAAAGTTTCACTCTTACGCGATTACTATCTTGTATATACATATATATTATAATTTTTTATAAAATTACTATGTTTACATGTAATCATTAAGATATATATACATTTATAGAATATCCAATTTATAATTCTGATGTAAATTACAGCACCCTTTATAATGCGCATGATGCCACACGCCTTCGAACAAATATTTTGGAAAAACATTCGCACATATGCAAATAGCACGTGAGTAATAAAACATAGAATATATATAATGTAAAAAGTAAAATTATAGAAATCTTAAATAACTCATAATATTATACAAATATTATATAATGTCCCTTATTTTCTTTCGTTTCTTATGACATTATTTCATAATGTTTTTTTCTTAGTGTTACAATTCTTATATTCTTACTGATCTTCTACCAAAATTATTTTTAATTTCATTACTCTTCCTATAAAAACTATTTCTGTAGAAAGAAGTTGTTATCGTTATCATTTTTTCATATACATATTCATTGTTGTTTTATTTTTGTTTTGCGATTTGTTATTTTTTAAAATAACTTTTAAAATAATTTTTTTATTATTTTCTTTATTTTTCTATATTATCTATAGTCCTTACATCTGTTTTTTTAATTGCATTTTTATGCTACAATTGTTTTTTAATTTTCTTTAACAGGTTTCTAAATATGTAACACTTATTTCTCTTTTTCATTACTTTCTCTATTTTTATTTTCTTCTGCCGTAAATCGATGCTCCTTTATATTATTTTTCTTATTTTTGTTCTGTCTTTAACTTTTTATTTGTTTTATTTTCTCTTTTAATTATTTTATACTCTCTCAATACTTTGCTCAAATATAATCTATTTCATTCAAATATAATCTATAATTGCTAATAATATCTAAAAATTAATAAAATTATTAAATTTTATTTAAAGTTATGTTATATTCTTTATTATTAGAATATAAATACAAGACATATAAATATATACAAATTAGAAGTACAATTTTATATTTTGCTTCTTAGAGTTTATTAATAGTTTGGGAATTATTGAGATATATGAAGCCACCTCTGATTTCGATCACCTTGACATAAGTCGTCAAGGTCACTATCCTGAGTAAGTATCAAAAGATTTTAAGCGTCGGATATTTGATTTTGACGAACGCTTAGATGCTTTTTTTAATGCAATGGCTAGTATATAGATGAAGATATAAATAAATAGTAAAATAAAATAAAAATATATATTGAATAAATTTTTATTTGAAATCGTATTACACTAAATAAATAAAAGGGAGCCTCTGGCTCCTTCTTGATACACTCGTTTACTTTGTTATGCGTCCGAACGTAATACATTTAAATGTCATGAATATTAGTTTTATTATATGTCAGAAATATTAGTTTTATTTAGTAAACTTTTTTGTTAATAATTTTTTTTTAAATAATGAGCTGCGCTCAAAAACTTTTGATACTTACTCAGGTCAGTGATCTTGACAACAAATGTCAATATCATCGAAATCGGAGGTGGCTCCCTATATCATAATAACTACCAAAATTTTTTATAATATTATCGTTATACAGACATTTTTAACATATTTGTAATGTTTTCTTTATATATATTTAACATACTTTTTGAATTTAGGCTATCACATCGTCTAGGCTCTGTAAATATTATGAAGGATGTTGCTTTAAAAATGAATATTGCTGAAAAAATAACAAGAATGGAATATTGGGCTTCGGAAAAGCATTGTCCTCTCATTAAAGTAGAACGAAGTTATAGTTATTTTATGAACCAAACAACAGTATCGGTACAATATATTGACATATTAAAAATTTGCCACATTCCTATAACTTTTACTACCGAAGCACCTCCCAATTTTTACAAATTCATTCATCATTTTCTACACGCGTCACAGGATTTCAAATTATCATTACCATTTGAAGAGAATGGTTGGATGATATTTAATATACAACAAGTTGGTAAATATCGTCAAATGGACTTATTATGACTTATTTGTTGTCTTTATTTTACAAACACATAATTGAAATAATTTTATTTTTTTTATCTATTTTTTTATCTAATTTTATTTATTTTCTTATTTATTGTTCTATAAAATTTTGATATATTCATTATATAACTATAATAGTTTTAAAATGTTTTGTGTAATGTTCTGCATTATTATATTTAAGATATACGTAGGCGGTTTCTAATTAATATCATTCAATGATAATGTTATATTTTTACAAATATTTTATTCAAATGAGAGTAAAAATTATTAAGATAATTATATTTATAAATTGAATAATAATAAATGCAGGTAACATACAATTTTCGTAACGTTACATATTACAGAAATTGTATTGGTTAGCATAAAATAATTATTATTTATCGACAACTAGAATCAATTTTATTATTTGATGTACAGCAATACCTTGCACGGTTTTATTTTCGACTATTTCAAGTATTAGGTAGACATTTTTATATTTATCTTTTATATGTATTTGCATTTTATTTATGTATTAAATTTTGATACGTTTTCAATTTATAATTTATATAAACAAAAATATTAATCAAAAATGTTTGAAAATAAGTATATTAATTATAAAATTATTGAAAATGATAAAAATTGGTATAATTTATTTACTGTTCGACAGGATATTACCGCGTTAACTATGATGATAAGAATTGGCGAAGAATTTCAAATTATCTAAACTCTGATAATTACACAAAAATTCATGTTCTTAATCGTGCCCAAATTATCGATGATGCATTTCATTTAATGATAGCAGGCCAACTCCAATTCCATATATTCTGGGATATCATAAAGTATTTGCATCGAGAAGAAGATTATATAGCATGGTATCCTATGTTTAAAGCTTTGGAATACATATTTAACATTATTCCTGTAACTTCCATGTTTGGAGGAAAAATTGAAAATTTTACGGTTAATATTAATAAATTTTAATAATAATATAACTTTTTAAATATTTGCATATATACTCACACACATTGATCACAAATAATTTAAATACTTTCAAAAATATATTCAGCAACGATAAAATTTATATACTATTACGTTGTAAACAAATGTGCGAACAAATTCAATTTGAATAATCACTTGAATACTCACTTGTAGAACTGTCCGAAAAGTCTATGATTTTCACTATTCCAAATATTATTGGTATATAACATTGTTATGGATATGTAGCAAGGTGCTTAAAATTTTTTTCAATGAATGCAATTATATTGACTTGATATTAATGTTACATGTTAGTAGTTAAAAAAAAATTAAACATATAAATAGTTGGAACAATTAAATTATATATATTTCAAACTTTAATATTTATTAAATATTTAAACATTTCGCACAAATTAAACCATATTTTTGCGTACATGTATAATATGTATAATATGTATATTTGTACGTACATATGTACGTGAATAGATAAACGTTAGCGTCTAGAAGTGAATTTGTATGTATGTTTGTTTTATAGAAAGAGAAATTTTAAGAATCTATGGGATAATAATAAAAAAAATATAATAATTTTTAAATACATTTATAATATAAACATATAAATATATATTTAACAATTTTTAGTCGAGAGTAAGGCACGCATTACACAAGCTACTTGAAAGAATCAAATATAAAGAAATTGATGATATAGACAGACTTAGAATATGTTTACGACAAGAAGCTGCAAGATGGGCATGTTTTCTCGGTGACATCGATTGTCAGAAAGAAGCCAAAAATAAATTAGAACATCATCTCCAAGATCCTACGAAACACAAGTAAATATTTCTATATATATATATTTATATATTTAAAAAGCAGGAATGCTTGTTATATCGATTAACTTACGTTTACTTTTAAATTTTGTATTTTATAAAATCTCTTCTAATTCTCTCTTAATTTTAGGAAAAATAACATTATTTATTGTTTAAGAATAAATGTTCCTGCTTTTTAAACTTTATTTTGTTTTATTTTAACAACTTATTTTTACTCCTTTATCCTTTTTTTCGGTTAACTTATCAGATACTTTGTAAGTATGTATATATACATGTTTATATATGTATATATATATATATGAAATACATACATATATATATATATATATATATATATATATATATATATATATGAGAAGTCACCACGCTTGGCCACAAGCAATATAACTGGACAGATATTTTTCTGTATATATCATAGCGTCCAAATTGCATCATGGGTGACACACTTGGTTCTAAAATGGACTATATCTTGAAAATTAAAAGTCTGCACATCTTGGCCCTAGAAGCGTTTTAAAGGGGAAGATTTCTACTTTTTTAAGATTTTTTTGAAAAAAATCGAAGATGTCTAAATTTGAGAAAAAATTTGTTTTTACTTTTTTTTTTTAAATCTTTTTTAAATTGTTATTGAAAAAATAACTAATTTCACAAGATTAAAGTACGTAAGAAGACCTTTTGAAATCATTCCTTATTTTTTAAAATCGGAGTAGTCTTCTGAAAATTATCAACGTTTGAAGTTGGACGTAACGGCCAAAATGATAAAAATTCAAGTCCCTGTTAATATAGAGCCTGTATGGTGTGGGCCAAACAACTTGAGTAATAATTTTACTTTTGATAGGACTACACTTTTTGCAAATTTCAGCGTGATTGGAAAACTTTGAAAATTTGAGTGGATTACTTTATAAATAATGCCCCATATATATATATATATATATAAGTTTTTCTTAATTAAATTCTCTTGTAGGTATCGCCTATAATGTTAAAATGATTTGATCACAAAAAATCCATCTAATCTTTATATGCTAATCTTTAATAAGAAAATTTATTTTTTATTTCAGACTTTTGCCATGGTGGAAGGAATGGACATTTTGTAATGGTTTGATGACTACCAACAATAAGACTTGGCGATCAATGTATACTATGGGATTGGATATATCTGACACTAAATTTGAAGAATACTTGGCTTGCCTAGAAGATATTAATATCATCATCGATTATTTAAAATATAAATCTATTAAAATACAAAAATTTCGTTATCTTCTTTACAATTTCTTACATATTATTGCAAAACATGCGAAGAATCCAACTTTTCTGGACTACCTATTACATAATTTCTTAGAGATAAAACCAAAGTAATGTGACATATTTTTATAGATGTTTTGTACACAAATTTATTGTGTTTTATATATACATTTGTTTTTTCGTTTTTAGATTTCTTGATATAACTGCAGCATTTATTATTATTATTAATAACGTATATTCCGTACATTTAATTCAGGTAAACATTTTACATGTGTTTATATGTATATGTATTTATACAAAATGTGATAAGAATGCGATATTAATAATTATTATTTAATGTTTAAATAATTTTGATAATGTTACAATAACGTTATTTATTAATAATGTTAAAAAATAATACATTTTAGGAAATAAACGGATACGTTGAATGGTTGAAGCGCAATGCGGACTTAATTGATGAAATAAAAGAAAAGGTAAATTTAATCAATATTATTATGGAAAGTGAAAGAAAAAGAGAAATCATGTTTTATCTTATTAATTTCTGAATATTAATTATATATTTGTTTTGTTTATTATATAAAGAATATTTATTGATTTCATTGTGCAAATTTTTGTTTATGTATATTAGGATTTCCTAATGCAGAAAATTGAAAGAAAGATATCAATTCGCAAAAATCAAATCGAAAGACGAACACAGTATTTTGATCGCATTCTCTTATGACGGATGTAAAAAAGTTGCATTGTGTGCGGATATATTTCATATTAATAATTTTTATATAATGTATGTACTATTTATTTTTTTGCTTTAATTATTATTTATTTTGATGTATAAATATTCGATGTCTCTGTATTTACAAATCTTTATGACTGCATGCATCAAGCTTTTCATTTTTTTGCGAACTTGCTTATAATTGAACTATATATTATTGCCTATGTTCACAAGAAAGTATAGCCATATAATATTACTATAAATTTTATTGTTAGATATAAAATAAATATAAACATGTGTAAACGTATATATAATATATATTATATATATAAATTTGTTTGTTAAATAATAAATGCACTATTTATTATAAATTTGAATTACATATAGACTTGTTTTTAATTTTTTTACGTGAATTAATTAAAATATATGTTTACGCACACATACATATACATGTATTGTATATAAATGTATATACCCTTATGAAGAAAACTACAAGAATATGAAAAATTACTGATATACTAATAATATATTATAGAAAAAGTATTATTATATCAGTAATTTTTCGTATTCTCGTAGTTTGTTTTCGTACGGGTATATATAACGAATTTTCATTTAAATATTATAAAAATTTACAGCTAACATATTCATATTTATACGTATTATTAAATTCGTTATTATCTATATTATATATACATATATACGTGTACATGTATGTGTTTGTGTGCGCGCGCGCGTGTTGGGATATATAAAACAATAATATTTTATATTATATATTATGTGTATATTATGTACATATACAGATCATATTATATACTAATTTTATAATTAATAAAATAGAATATATAAATAAATAAATGTTTGTATATATAAATCATGTTTATATATTTATAAGAATTAGTAATATGTTAAAGTTATACCTGTATGTAAACTAATTATAATTATATGTGTTTATATGTTCAATATTTAAATACCTTTTACATTTAATATGTTATTATATAAAATTTGATTGATTAACATTTTTTAGTTTATAATAAATCACATACAATTTCTCTCTCTCTCTCTCTTTCTCTCTTTCTTTCTTTTTCTCCCTTTTCTTTTTTTTTGTAAATCCACATTTTAATTTTAATAATGGTTTATTTAAATAAATTATTAACCTTAATATTAATATTTATAAAATTATATTACTTAACTTTCAAATTGTGCAACATAATTCGGCGCTTATTACTAATATTTTAATAGACAGAAATACTGGAAAATGTGTTAATCGGAATTTTAACTTAATTATATTTAAGTAATTTTAACAATTACATTTAAAAGAGATGTAAGCATAGATAGAAGATATAAAGTATAAAAAACTTTTATCATCAAATTGATGTTTTCAATAAGTTCACGTTTAACATGTGTTTCTTCCAATCAACACGATGAATTTTAATATTTAAAAATTATCTTATTATTTCATTTGTATCTATTATTTATCGTTTTTTATTATTTTTTATATAATTATTACTATTTTAAATAAAATTTATACAAATGTGTTGCAACATAAACTAAATATTTAAAAAAAGGTAAAAATCCGTTATACTGAAATAAACAATATAAAAAGTCTAGAATTTTTAAAATTAAAGATTGAATTTATAAGAAAACAACATCTACAGTATAATTTAATTTGCATTTATTGAAATTCGAATATGCAAACTCGATCCCTGCACTAAATTTACAGTAAAATTCTGCGGCAAGTTCTTAAAATAACTAACATCTAAATTTTTCAAAGAATTTATCGTCAGATTCACCTTGATCAATGGCAATAACGCACTTGCCAGAGATGAAGACTCCAATGAAGTAAATTGATTATTTAAATTCAAATATTTTGAAGACATGAAAGACTCGCTCCATTGTTTTAATGGAAAACTTAATTTTGTTCTTCGAAAGATCTAATATTTCTAAAAGTGAAAGTTGAGCAAATGCTTTAACATTAATTTCGACGATCTGATTCCCTCCCAATAACAATTTTGTCAACTTCGGCATTTCCACAAAAGTGTTCGCAATTGAACTCTTAATATTGTTACAATTAAGAGACAGATTGCTGATCACTGTCTCATTCGAAATTCGCAGAATATCTTCGAGTTTGTTCCGACTCAAATCGAGCGATCTCAAGCATTGAAATTTTTCAAATGTGTCCTGATGCAAGTAATTTATATTATTTACGGATAAGTTCAAATAGATCAACTTGTTGATGTTGTCGAAAGCGATTCCTTGAAATCAATTTTGTTTCCAGAAATAGAGAAGTAGAGCAGCTAAACCAAAATTACGCAAATCGTTATGCGAAATATATTCATCATTATTCTTTCTTCTATATCCATAATTATGTTAATTATATTAATTGTGTGGATTACATTGACTGTACAATTTGGATGACAAATCACGCAAATCATATATTATACTTTTTCACGTATCTCAGATTATTGTTATCCAAGTTTGGCGCTAACAAGTTCACTTGTTTTTTGTCAGAAGCTAAAGAAGCGAACGAGTTATAGTGAAGATCGAGAAAGTACAAACTATTGTATTTGGCAGCAACTCTAAGAAATTAATACCTTGTATATTGTTATTGGAATGATCTAGAATCTTTAGTTTTGGGAATGAAATATTCTCGATGGAAGTTAGCAAGTCGTTGATATGATTGCTACGAAGAGATAGAATTTTTAAGTTAGAATACTTTTAAGAAACGTCTGTAAATGTAGATACGTGATAGCTGCGTCGGGTGGTTCTTTCGAATATGAATCTTCAAGCTTTCGTGAATCCCGAAGTCAAAGAGTTTGTCGTTAGATTAAACGAAATGATATTAATGCTATATACATAAATTTAATTTTTATAAGCAGATTGATTAATAAAATAGAAAGTTATAAGTAGAAGTAATTGTATCGACTCTAAATCAAACTCAGTTTTGTTATCAAGTTTAATTATGATAGCAAATTATTGTTAGTATAGTAAACTGATAATAGAATACTAATATAAATTTGAGAAACTATCAAGAGACACGGTAGTGTCTCGCGACCAGTTAAGGGCGTAGCGGAGACACCGTGTATCTTAACGCGAGTCGGACATTTGAGTCTTTATAATATTTCGAATCCTCAATAATGGCTGAAGCAATCGAGTTTATACTAGACTTAATCGATAGATTGAGTTCGAATTATATAATAAAAGTGTCTTTATTTCTGCTCTACGTGATTTGTAAGCAGAGATATATAAATGCAAAGTCGAAATATGAAAAATTTCTATTAAGAAACGTCCCCGTCATCATTATAATCTCTAAAAACTCACCTTTAAAAAAAGGTAAAAAAAGGCGACCAGTTAAGGGCACGCCATTAACAAAAATTATCCATTGCAAACCCATGTAGAATCCTATGAAAAATTAATCATTGCAAACCCATGTAGAATCCTAGGCAAAATTAACCATTGCAAACCCATGTAGAATCGTACCCATTGCAAACCTATGTAGAATCCTATGAAAAATTAACCATTGCAAACTCATGTAGAATCCTATGAAAAATTAACCATTGCAAACCCATGTAGAATTGTATTAAAAATTATCCATTGCAAACTTATGTAGAATCCTACATTGCAAACCCATGTACAATAGAATTATATGAAAAATTATCGATTATAAACCCATGTACAATCGTAACAAAAGTAATGAAATAAAAAAAAAATTGCGCCAAGTGAAAGTAGAAACTTGTACCAGTGGAAAATTAAAGTTGCAGACATATATAGAGTCGTATAATGAATCAGTAAAAATTTAAATTTGCAAATGTAGAATCGTACCATAAAAAAACTTATCTTTTAAAAAAAAGATAAACAAGATGCCAAGTCCATGCGCCATGTGAAAAAGAAATAAAAAAATTTTAGTTAAAAAAACTGGGAGCGCTGCTAAATAATATTCTAACAATATTAAAATTAAATTGTTACTTTTAAACTCATTACAGTTAAAATATGTTTTGTGTTTAAATTAATTAATGTTACTTTAAGGTGCATTGTAATTTTGAAACTTAGCAGTGCTCCCAGTTTTTTAACTAAAATTTTTTTATTTCTTTTTCACATGGCGCATGGACTTGGCATCTTGTTTATCTTTTTTTTTAAAAGATAAGTTTTTTTATGGTACGATTCTACATTTGCAAATTTAAATTTTTACTGATTCATTATACGACTCTATATATGTCTGCAACTTTAATTTTCCACTGGTACAAGTTTCTACTTTCACTTGGCGCAATTTTTTTTTATTTTATTACTTTTGTTACGATTGTACATGGGTTTATAATCGATAATTTTTCATACAATTCTATTGTACATGGGTTTGCAATGTAGGATTCTACATAAGTTTGCAATGGATAATTTTTAATACAATTCTACATGGGTTTGCAATGGTTAATTTTTCATAGGATTCTACATGAGTTTGCAATGGTTAATTTTTCATAGGATTCTACATAGGTTTGCAATGGGTACGATTCTACATGGGTTTGCAATGGTTAATTTTGCCTAGGATTCTACATGGGTTTGCAATGATTAATTTTTCATAGGATTCTACATGGGTTTGCAATAGGATAGGATTCTACATGGGTTTGCAATGGATAATTTTTGTTAATGGCGTGCCCTTAACTGGTCGCTTTTTTTTACCTTTTTTTAAAGGTGAGTTTTTAGAGATTATTAATCTTTACGATAGCAGTTGTTTGTTGCTATTAATATAGCATGCAATGTTAATCGAGACAATAATAAATAGCAACGTGGAAAAGTAGCAACATTATTTGCGATAGTCGACTTTAAATGCTTCTTTTAGAAAGGGATCCGTGGCTGATTTAATACTAATTGATAATTAAGTAATTCTGACACTAAGTCAAATGCTGTACAAAGGAAGGAATCGCGATTATTCATTTCCATTAAAAATAATTAATAAGAATAAGATAAATAGAATTATTAAGAATTATTGAGATAATTATTAAAATTATAAAATTAAGAAAATTATTAAAATAAAATTATTGAAAGCGTATATTACGAGATATTACACCATATTTTATCTTAATAATTTTTAAAATTTTAT